ATGATCAAAAAAAGCCAACAATATGGATTCATCTTTAAAACATCTATCAACTTTTTCAAAGTTGTTTTACATAACTTGTCAGAATTTTTTAGTCTATTAGTGATTTCATTATCAGTATCATAGAAGTATAACTGTAAATATGAGGGTTTCCCATCAGTAGGTAACAATGGATTTATAAAATGATACACTTGTCCCTAAACTCTGAATGTATATATACCTTTATTATTTCTATAAAAAATTTTATCATACTTAACACCAAAATAAGTGAAAGCAAAATGATTGTTATAACTGCGAGCAACTTTCTTAAAAACAACTGTCTCACATGAAGCAAAAGTAAATAGCTCAAACAATTCAAGAAGAACACTATTTAACTGTAATCTAACTTTTCCATCACAACAACAAAAACCCCTACTTTTTTTATGAAACTTTTTTGCAACACAATATTTACAAATTGTACATGATGGAAGAATATAAGGTTCAACTAGAGTATCTCGTAGATTTATTCCTTTGGAATCAACTCTTTTAGAACAATGTAAAATAATAGGAACTTCTGATGTTTCATTTTCAGATTCTTTTTCATGACAAATACTTTCATCCTTGTACAACTCAACACAATCATCAATAGAACCTAAAAACATAAAAATAAGATTGATGAAGAATAACACAAATAGTTCTAAAAAAAAAAAAAAGAACACAAGTAAATGGATATAAAAAAAAAAACCCAAACTTGTTTCAAACTCACGACACCTAGTTCGCCTTTCTAGTGCATAACTTGTAGTGACTTCCAGAATACCAAATATCTATATTAAAATTATGTAAAAAAGGGAATGAAAAAAAAAATCAACAAAAAATCATATTTCAACAAATAATCATACTAAAACCTTTTTACACAATTTGTCCTCTTTTAACATTGGTTGAACTTCAGAAACTTGTATTTGTGTGGACGGTCTTGTTGAACGAGCACATCTACTCTTAAACCAATTATAAACATTCGTATTACAAATTTGGTCATATAACGACAACTTAGAGACTATCTGTGCAATCTTTGATTTTCTTGGAGTTGTGTTGCCTTGATCAAATATGGATTCAAGAATTTGGAGTTGGGGAAATGTCGGTGTCCATCTACCCATTATGACTATGAAAGCAAGTCAACTACAAGATATGTAAATCCTCAAAACTTAAATGACCTCAGACAAAAAAAAAATTAATAAAATATACTACATTAGGAAAAAAATAAAAAAAAATTTATTATTATTATTATTATTATTATTATTATTATTATTATTATTATTATTATTATTATTATTATTATTATTATTATTATTATTATTATTATTATGCTAACTCTGAGGAATGTATACTATCTATACCTACGCATAGAAAAGCCACCATGCTTCAATTATTTATCAAAGTGTGCATAGGCATCGTACTTCAATTATTTATTTAGCAAAATGTTAAGTTGAAAGCATGCCTAATGAATAACTTGTAATCATGAGAAAAACAAATATTAAAAGGGAAAAATATGATTATCATTCACTTGCGGTAAAAATTGGAATTAAGAGTTAGTTTATGTGTTCTTTTGATGTCATACAAAATGTATATGTTAGCAAGAAATCATCTAAATTTTTTTGGCGAGATTAAGTAATTTGGGATAGATGTTTTCAGTTTTATTTGGGAATTCTCGATGAGGTTCATGCATGAATTTGATAATCAGGTTCCTTGTTCCTTGTATTATGTTGTTTGGCAAAAGAAATTAATAATTGATTAGTGAGAAGTATTGCTTTCTTGCTGCAACGGTATCTAGGAAATGAAACAAGCATCTGTGTGCACAGAGGCCTAAAAACTTCATCCACGGTTGCTTGGAGACTCTGTGCACAGAGGCCATAGGTCTCCGTGCACGGAGGCCACAAGGACTCTGTGTATGGAGACTTTTACCTCTGTGCATAGAAACTCATCCAAATTTTGTTTGTTTGTTTGTTTGTTTTATTTTCAAATTTTTTTGGAAATAATAAGAAGACAGTCTTATCATTAAAAATTTGTCTATTCTACCACCCGTGAATCTCTTGCCAAATTTAATTCAAAAAACAAAGTACAATTTTTTTTAGCTTAAATACCTTCATTTTTCACCCCCAAGAATTTGCATATCAAGTTTTCCTTCTTTTTTTTCCTCATTCAACTCACCCATAATTCAAATATTCCACATAACAAATAGTATTATTCTTCTAACAATAATTTTCTCACTGCACTTTATCAGATAAAATGGATGCTTCACATCATTTTTCAGAATCATCACCCCTTTCTTGAATCACAATATTCATCTAGTTAGTGCTTCTTTCACATTTTAATATATGTTTTATCATGCTTATATTTTTGTTATTTTTATATGTATAATATAGATGTTTCCTACATCTTTTGTCAATGACTGAAGGCGACAACTTGGTGATACAATACAAGTAACTATATATGATGGCATAATTGTCACCATCAAATTAGAAAGAGTTGATGGAAAAATATACCTAGCTGATGGATGGAAAAAAATTTCGACCATCATAATTTACAGGATGGTTTTGTTCTAGTATTCGAATATAACTGTAATTCCACACTAAACATGACTATACTTGACCATTCTGGGCTAGAGGTCACACACGACTCTGATGAAGAAGGCCAAGAAGGCATCACTTCATATAATCCCATATTTGAAATAATACTAACACCTCGTCATAACAGCCACCAAAAAATTGTAAGTAGTATCTTTTATCTTTTAATATATATATATATATATATCTTTACTCTCTTAAAAGAGAGGCTTTCTTTACTATTCATTCATGTCACACTGGTTTTCACACTTGCTCGATTTACATATCTGGTTTTGCTACAGTTGGTTGGTCCTCAAAATGAGCCACATTTTCTTTTTGAGACCGCATAGTCTGCGTCTTCTTGCTTTTGTATTGTCTCACATCCACCTCCTCTCGTGAGGAATAATTAATGTAGTTGATTTTTTTTGACTTATTGAAGTGTAGTTGATTTTGTTGACTTCTTGAAATCGGAAAACGTGCATTCCCGAGGTATATAGCAAAGTTATTAGATGATTTTCCTTTTTCCCACATAATTGAGATTTCAAAAGTAACATTATACCCTCTATTTAATAAACAATTTGGCACAATTACCCTTCACTCTCTAACTACACACTAATTTCCATACCTATATTAATGTTAAGGGTGATATGGGAATTAAAAAATATAGTTGTCCAAACATTAATGAATGGGACCCACATTTGAAGTAAAATGTCGTGTGCTATTTTTTTTTTCTTACCACATAAATTTCGCACAATACTCTTCTATCAATTCAATCCTTCTCTTTCTAAATTCAAGCCATTGTTTTGCAGAACGAATTCTCCCCAAAATCTTGTTTTCTCTGAAAAAAATAAAAAAAGGTCGTCCTTCTACCATTATTCACTTTTGCCTTTAGCCTAATTCGTATTTTCTCGTCATCAATAGTGGAGAAGAAAATTCTAGAAGTTGCAACAATTATTTTGGGTATGTTCTTCTTATAATTTTTCTTTTTTGTGTATTTCTTTTTTTATTTTCTTACTATTTATTTAAGGTACGTAGTTTTCCTTTGTTTGTAGATGAAAATCTAGCTGGGTTCGTCTTCCTTTAACTCCATATAAGGTATGTTCTCGTTTCTGTACATGCATGAAAATATATCTACGTTTACATATTCATGGTTCATGAGGTTGAAGGTTATGAATTTTCGCCGTTTCAAAGCTGGTGAGGAATCAACTATCATCATTCATAGCCAACTTCAACAATTTCAAATCACTATTTCACTCCATTTTTTATTCACTGTAGAAGAAAATGAAATTGCACTGGACGCAAAAAAAAAAATGTTAATAGAGGGTGAAAATTATATAGGTGTGTACATACACATTTACATACATACATACATGTTTACGTGTGTGAGGAGAGGGGATTACTTTTCTTCGTATAGAATATATTTTATTTAATTAGTATATAATAATAAATTAGTATCTGCCTTTACTATAAGAGAGGAGATTGTCCAAGTTATTGTTTATGTTTGGCACAATTTCATACGTAACCAGTTTCTTCCTTTAGTATGTAGACTAGAGATATTTTTTTCTTATTCTTATCTAATATGAAAATTATTTAAGTTGAAAACGCCTAACTTTGTATGAACTTTAAAAATTCTTTAAAATATATGTGTTGGGGACATGTAGATTTATATTAACTTTAAAGATGAATAAAATTTGAATTGAAGGCCCTGTGTAGTATTTAGTGCCATGCCTTGATTTTTTATAAATTGATAGATGACCGTGGTAGATAGAAGTCTTGTCTAAGTTAAATAGTTACAATGGAAGTGTATTTATAGGGAAATTTATTCTGTAGGTTGCTTTGAATTAGAATTTCGAATGTTCCAAGAGAGAAGCTAGAGTACCATACTTTTTCATTGAAAAAGATACTTTGTTAGAGCTTATTAAGGCAAAAATTCATAGATGGAAATCTTTTATTACTTGCTGCCCGAATTCTTTTGTGCATTTCTAGTCGTCCACTTATGAATTTATTAAGTTTATGATTGTTGATAAATTACTTACATTATAACTTTAGAAATAGATTGCATATGTAGGTTGATTGGGTGGAAGCAAAACCACTAAATTTATAGATGAAAAATATTTTCTTTTTATAAGTCTTTATTTTCTTACTCTTCGGTAGTAGTATAGCAAAAACTTTTACAACATTACAATAGTATTTATGTTTTTTTTTTAAAAACTATTAATTTTACAAGAATCATATAAAAATGTTAATATTTTATTCCTGCTTTTACATCATATAAGTCTTATTAAAATTTTATTTCATCAATAGTTTAGTCAACACTGTTTATATTTATTGCTATTGCTTTGAAGTAAACAACTTTTTTATTAAACTTCAAAATGCAACTGAATCGTATACTGCTTTTATTCGCCAACAACAAAACTAAAGACAGGCAAATAGGAGGAATCAAATTCAAAGTCCACGCGTTGATCGTCGTAAAAGAATAAATAATTCCACGTTGCATCCTAATTTTCAGACTTCTACTTCAAATCAAGCACGTACTAATATTGTTCATTCTAAAGTACGAGGGATTTCTAACCTATTAAACATACCTACTAATGCATATGTATTACCGACATGGAACTATTGTGAACATTGTGGTGCGCGAAAATTTTATAGAGAAACTAAAGGGTTCTGTTGCTCTGATGGAAAAGTTAAACTTTATATGCCTGATTCACCAACTGAATTGTATAATTTATTTACTTCTAAAGAACCTAAATGCATGGAGTTTAAGAAAATTTCACGTGGATATAATAACCATTTTGCATTCACTTCATTTGGTGTAAAGTGCGATACAGACCTTTTTAGAGCATATAAAGGTATTTACACATTCAGAATTCAGGGACAAGTATATCATTATGTAAATCAACTTCTGCCGGAAAATAATCAGCCTTCTTATATGCAATTATATTTTTATGATACGAATAACGAAGTTGAAAATCGTATGAAAATTTCAGAAAATTTTGTTGAATCTACTTTGATCATTTTGATTGAAATCTTAAAAGTAAATCCGTATAGTAGATTCTTTAGGTCTTTAAGTAATATGACCAATTTGCACGACCATCGAATACAAATAAGATGTGATCCTGGACTTGATCAAAGAGTCTTCAATACTCCTTCAGTATCTCAAGTAGCCACTGTATGGGTTGAGGATGATGACAATGCAAATATTCGTGTTCGTGATATTACTATATATGGTCATTCTGGTGAATCACATAAGGTTCACTATTATTATGGTTGTTATGATCCTTTGCAATACCCTTTACTTTTCCCATTTGGAGAACCTGGTTGGCATGAAGGTATTCAGAGATACCAAAAAACATATTTTGAAACTCAGAATTTACTCGATTGCATAGCTTTTCCTAGCACAGTAAATTTTGCAACTGAAATTATTGCAAAAGAGGCTCAAGGTTTGCTATTAAACTTTTTTATATGTTTACTAATTCATATAAATTAAATGTTCCAAGTGGGTGTAAGATGCATTTTTTTTATCCTTATGCAGTATTCAATGGAATGAGGAAACGATCACAGGTTTCTTGCCGCGAGTACTATTCTTACAAGTTACAAATTAGGCCTTCTAGTAAGTCTGTGTTGCTTCATACTGGTAGACTTTTTCAACAATATGTTGTAGATATGTATGTTAAAATTGAAACTGCCAGATTAGACTATTTTCGTAGCAATCAGAAACAAATTCGTGCTGAACTTTATCAAGGTATTGTGGATAGTGTTCAAAATGGGGAAACAAGAGGGTCAAAAATTGGAAAGAAGATTGTTCTACCACAAACTTTCACATGTGGGCCTAGAGATATGCTTAAAAGATATTTAGATGCAATGGCTATCGTCCAACGTTATGGAAAACCAGATATATTTCTAACTATAACATGTAATCCAAATTGGCCAGAAATTATGCAAGAACTCAAACACAATGACGAAGTTCAAAATCGATCAGATTTAATTGCACGTATATTTAGAGCAAAATTGTAAGAGTTAAAGAACGATTTATACAAAGAAAATATTTTTGGTTCAGTCGTTGCTCATATATACATGATTGAATTTCAAAAAAGAGGGCTCCCTCATACCCATTTATTGTTGATTTTCAATTCTGCCCATAAAATTTGTTGTGCTGAACAAGTTGATATGATAGTGTCATGTGAAATTCCCGATAAGAATAAATACTTGCATCTTCATTCTGTAATTGCAAAACACAATATGCATGGCCCTTGTGGAAACCTTAATCCAAAAAACGTATGTATGTTGGCAAGTAGTGGTTGTAAAAATAAATATCCTAAGGATTATTGTACTAGTACTATATTTGGTGATAATTCATATCCCTTGTATAGACGTCGTGATAATGGTATTTCTATTAAAGTAAGAGGCCAAATGTTAGATAATCGGTGGGTTGTACCATATAATCCTTATTTAAGTGCAAAATTTGACTGTCATATTAACGTTGAAGTATGTTCTTCTATTAAAGCAGTAAAATATTTGTACAAATATGTGTATAAAGGACATGATCGTATTAATTGTTTCGTAGGCAGAAATGAAACAGATAAGGAAATTGATGAAATTTTTGCTTATCAATCAGCTAGATGGATATCTCCACCTGAAGCTATGTGGAGAATTTTTTCTTTTAATTTGTCAAAAATTTATCCTACTGTTTACGCTTTACAACGTCATATTAAAGATCATCAGCACGTAACTTATAATAGTAAAGATGATTTATCTGTTATTATTGGAAATGAGTATACGAGAAGAACAATGCTAACTGAAATTTTTTCGAATGAATGAAGTAAATGAATTTGCTCGAACGCTATTGTATCGAGATTTTCCAACACATTTTGTGTGGAATGCAACTGGAAAAACTTGGACTCCCAGAAAACAACACATTGTTATAGGGTGAATCGTGACAGTTAATCCATCCGAAGGAGAACGATATTTCCTTCGTGTTCTTCTGAATCATATTAAAGGTCCAACATCATATGACAGTTTTAAAACTTTAAATGGAGTAACAGTCAATACATATCAAAAAGCAGCACTTTTACATGGTTTGTTAAAAGGAGACAACCATTGTGAAGAATGTCTATCTGAAGCCATTATTTACAAAATGCCCAATTCTTTTAGATGTCTTTTTGCTACACTTCTTCCACTTTGCAACCCTAATCATCCAAAGTTATTGTGGGATAGATATGAAGCCTATATGATTGATGATTATTTACATCGAAACATATGTGTTAAAGATGCTGAAATACAAGCTTTGGAAGACATCAATTCTATATTAGAATCGTCAGGAAAAAATGTAAATGATTATGGAATAGTTTCATTCTTTGTAAATATAGATGAGACTCAAAGATTGGCAAGAATGATTGTAGAGGAAACAATGAATTTTAATATTCAACGAGACTTTAATTGTGTAGAGAAATTCAATAAAGAACAACGATTTGCATATGATAAAGTTATGGAAAAAGTAAAAAATGACTCAAGTGGTACTTTCTTCATTGATGGTCCAGGGGGAATGGGGAAGACTTTTTTATACAAAGCACTTCTAACTGCTGTAAGAGGTCAACATTTCATTGCTTTGGCAACAGCGTCCTCTGGAGTCGCTGCGTCTCTGTTACCTGGAGGTCGCACAGCTCATTCAAGATTTAAAATTCCTTTAGAAACAATTGGTGAAGTGAATTGTTCTGTTAGCAAGCAATCAGCTTTAGGAATAATGTTGAAAATGTCTAGGTTAATAATTTGGGATGAAGCGCCTATGGTAAATTGTTGCGCTATTGAAGCTGTAGACAGAATGCTTAGAGATATTACTGATTGTAACTTGCCTTTCGATGGGAAAGTGATAGTTTTTGGAGGAGATTTTTGACAAGTTCTTCCAGTGGTACCAAGAGGGAAAAAAGATGATGTAATGAAAGCTAGCTTGGTCTTTTCAGACCTATGGCCTTCCTATTTACGTTTACCATTGGTTGAGAATATGAGGGCAAAATCAGATCCTATGTTCTGCACTTACTTACTCAGAATTGGAAATGGAACAGAAGAAGAACATACTTGTAAGTGCATTATGCTTCCGAATAGTATAATTCTACCATTTGAAGATGAAATCACATCTTTAAAAATTTTGATACATCATGTTTTTCCAAATATACAGGCATATGTTGACAATTTACATAATATAATAAATAGAGTTATTCTTACACCTACGAATGAATGTGTTGATTATATTAACAAGATTTTACTCGAACAAATTCCCGGTGATTTTTCCACATACTATAGTTTTGATGAAGCAATTGACAAATCGGAACAAAGCTTGCACGAAGATTTCTTGAATACTTTGACACCAAATGGTATTCCACCACATGAATTGAAACTTAAGGTAAATTGTCCTGTAATGTTATTACGGGATATTAATCCTTCCGAAGGATTATGCAATGGAACACGCCTTGTTGAAAATTTGAGAAAAACGTAATTCTTACTGAAATTACAACTGGTGAGTATTGTGGGAAATATGTTTTCTTATCAAGGATCCCTTTTATACCTCTTCAAAGTGATCGAAACTCAATTCAATTTAAGAGAACTCAATTTCCAATTAGACCGTGTTTTGCAATGACAATAAATAAAGCACAAGGTCAAACACTTGATTTTGTCGGTCTATATCTTCCAGAACCAATTTTCTGCCATGGTCAGCTATATGTAGCATTATCAAGAGCAACAACGAGCCCATCTCTAAAAGTTTTATTGAAACCATCAAGCATGGACAACTCACATAAAACATATACTAAAAATGTTGTGTACAAGGAAATTCTTTCGTTTATACATTCATATACCTAAAATGTTTGAACAGGTATATTTTTTATCTTCGAGAAATTTTTATAATATGTTCTCGTACAATAGTTTCCTCAATTTTAAATACATGAAAAATTATGTCGTTACTATTTTTTTCATTCTTTGCATTTGCTATAAAAAAATTTCACAGGTTTCATTATCGGGAATGAAAAGTTCTTTTTAATTCTTTGCTACATGTGTACAATGGAATCACTAATGACAACTTCAATTACAACCTGCGTTTGCAAAAGGTATGATTCAAATTTTTTAATGTTAGTTTAATAGTTTGCCTAATTTACTTTAGTAAAATTTCAAAATAAAAAGTAATTTCTCTATTTTTAGAATATATTTACCCTTAAGAGTTTCACATTGTCACATAAATATTCTTCCATCAGTTAAAATGTGCTCTTATGCCAATTATCACAATGTTTAACTTTGTGAAAAAAAAAAATTAGTATGATTATGGATTTTATGGAAACTCAATTTCAGATTCCCTTATTATCAACTTCAAGTTGTTTCCCCTCATATATTTTACAGTCTTTCACATTTTAGATATATGTAATTAATACTATTTCTACTACCTCTTAAAAGAGGGGGTTTATATTACTGTTCATTTATATCACAGCCGTTTACACCCACTGTTCCACAACCGTTTTTTCTACAGTTCACATTTTTTTTGAATAAATGAAACAAAATCTCCTTTCTTAACCCTAAACAAAACTCTAGCTTACTTTCTCAAAACTCTTGCCCTTGTTCTCAAACTTTCAGATTTTGCAACCCGACGGCTAAAGGAGAGATCCATTTGAAGTACACTTGAAATACACTGTCTATGTTCTTGGCAATGGAAGAAGGAGGCTTTTTCTATTATTCAACTTTTGTTTACGGTAAGGGCCTAGCTCTTCTTTTTCTTCTTTTTTTCTTTTCGAGTTAGTGGAGGAAAGTGATAATGAAGAGTATAGGACGATGATGGTCACTGTAGTAAATGGCAGAAGAATCGAAGGCCGTCAAACTTATTTGATAAAGAAGCACATATTAATAACGAAAAAGAAGAGGAAGAACGTTGTAGCCAATAATTTTCTTTTTTAGTTTAGTTTTCGGAAACCTTTTGAGTTGTTGATGAGGATTTAATTCAATTATGTTGATTTGTTATGGTGTTCTAAATCTTGATTGATTCAACTGGATTTCTAATCCTTTTGATTTTCTTTTAATAATCTAATTGATGTCAATTAGTTTGTGAGATAGATTTGTTAAAAACTAGTTTCTCTATGAATATTATAAGTTCCCTAAATTTAAGTCTTAAATATAATTTGTCTGCCCTTTGTGCATCATACGTTCTGATTCTTGGACAGTTTTATGCGACTGTAATTCTATCAATAGGGAGACTAATGCTTGATTTTCCTTTTGAAGCTCATGGTTTATTGAAATCATTTTGCTGCTTCTGCTTCTTGTTGGTTCCACTTGTACACTAATGGAATTGCACTTTAATTGCTTACAAATGATGTGTAAAATACGATTTATGACTTTGTCATCAGCTATTTATAATCTGATTTTTTGCTTTTATAATGAATTAGTCTAATACACTACTTTATGCAAGCTACTTAAAGCATTATCTTAATTTCTCTAGGTGTGGTTGCAGGATTAAATGCTCAACATGGTGTTAATTTAAGCACACCTACGTCTTTTAGCAATCCTGTTGCTGGAGGTAATAATAGTATGGACATGGGGGTAGTTGTTCGCTCTAGCAGACCTTTCGCAATGGTTGATGAAATTACAAAAGGATCTTCAGCAGCAGCAGATGGCTTACAGCTTGGAAATCAAATTGTAAAATTTGGGAATATGAAAATAGGTGAGAACTTGGTACAGAAGCTTACTACTGAAGCTCAGATAAATAAGAGCCATGCAATGCTTGTGGTAGTTATGGGGCAAGGTGTTTTCATAAATTTGACCATAAAACCCAACTCTTGGCAATGTCATGACCTACTTGGTACGTTACATTCTAATCATATTTTATATTTTTCCTTTTCATTTAAACTATGTTTCAATTGGTCAATAAATCTCATTTATGCAAGTGAATCATGAAATGTTCAATTTCAACAAATCATCTTGAACTAAAAATATGCTAATGTTATATATTTGAATTCTGTTGATTTTATACAATAAGATCAATAATACATAAGTTTCTTTTAATTTCGATAGTCCAATAATATTCCTTGTTCTAATTTTTTGAATTGTTGAAATTAATTCGAAATAATCTATAGGAATTGAAACATTTGTAAGTATAATTCGTGTACGGCATTTCTCTTTGAAATGTTATGTAATTTCAATTTATTATTTGTAGAATATTAGACACAGTATTAGTGAAATTTAGTGATCGCTGGTTCAGTATGTGTGAAGATCAATTTGGCTAATTTTCGCCTTGCCTTGTCACTATTATATCTAATTCAGCATTGACATTTTTTTACCTTTCTAGGTTTCTTCAGGTTAGAAATGACTTATATTGTTTGACAAATAAGAAGTTGATTATTGCAATAGATATTAAACCATACATATAAATTTTCTAGATATCTTCTAACTCTTTTCTATAATAGTTTGGACTGCTTTACGTTTTATATAATCTTCATGTCATGCTTGATGTTGTTGTAAACAAGGGATAAGATCTGCTATCTTCATTCGTTCATGTCTTCAGTTAATATAACTTTAGATAAGAAATTCAGTCAATTATATCAAATATGTACTTTTTGACTTTTTGCATCCTTTTGTCTATGTTATTTCAACTCTGGTCCTTCCTAAATGAATGCATTTTGGCAATTAATGCATGAACGTTGGACGTCCTATATCTAATCTATTTATCGTCTTTTTTGTGGTAAGGTAAACCGACAATGAGAAGTTAGCTGATGATGAAGAGGAAACTAAGGGGAAGTACATCCATGGTGATGTATTTAAGTACCTTAAATACAAATTTTTGTTTATAATAAATGATGGTTCAACCTTAGTATCCTTTATTATATTTTCCAATGTCCTGGATTCGAAGTTTTCTATTTACTCTTTCGCTTAATTAAAAACTAATGTTTTTCATACAATTCATACATTTTTCGACCATAAATTGAATTTTCTTCTTACTAATGTAATAAGTGAACACAATAGTTTTTCAAAATACATAAATCCAACAGAAAATAAAGAAAAAAAGACAAAAAACAACGATAGTAACATTTAACCTGATAACACCTATGATAATATAAGTTAAGCTCCCCACAAGTTCGTGAATAGATAAAATTACTTAATAAATAAAGTGAATAAATAAAGTTACTTACTAAATGTATTATGCATGAAGCACTCATATTTGAAACATATGGATTAACAATCCTTCTTCCAATTTTAAATCTAACATAATGTATTAAATTTTAGCAAATTATAAAGTAATATTTTTCAAAATCAACACGTGAACCAGTAAAAAACTAACACGGAAAACTACCAACTTTTTATAAAAGCCTTTTCAATTCTAAGTATATATTTACATGAAATAGATATTTTACAAATGACAAAAAATAGTACGCTACTTTCCACGCACAAATTTTAAACGTATAAACCATCATCAATTATATATATATATATACACATGAAATAGATATTATACAAATGAAAAAAAATAGTGCCAACTTTCCACGCAAAACTTTTTCATATAAACCATCATTAACTTTTTCTTTCACTTTAATTCTCATCCATACAAAAAGATATTTTACAGACCAAGTGTATGGTTGGATATTAAAACAAAGATTCGTCTACTCATGTTCTATCTATTAATATCTGCTTTCGACTAAATAATTTTATGTTACTTTTACTTTCCCCTTCAGCATCAAAATTCTACAACAGTATCGTAAACATCATACTCTTCAACTACAACTGCAAAAGTTTAAAAACTCCGTTTTCGTTTTCGTTTTCTTATTGGTAAGTTTTAAATGTTACTATCGTTTTACTATAATTATCTTTTATTAATCCAAAAGAAGAACGTTAGATTATTTCATAAAAAACTTTTAGAATTAAAAAAATTGATATCATTTTTTTACGATAAATTTAACGTAATATTAACAACTGTAACTATTTGTGTAATAATTTCTTCTTCACATAATCATAGGATATCAAGAATGGCCGCATTTTATAAACTTATCCCACAGATTTCCACTTTTGAGAAGAATTGGACTGCAAAAATCATAGTTGCAGGAAAACAAGTACCTAAAACTGCTCGAAATAACATTAGCCGCTACCAAAACCTTCTCTTAATGGATTTAGAGGTAAATATATATTTACAAATCTTCTTATTTCTATTCTAAATATTTGTTTTCGTAATATATTTATATAGAACTCATTTTTACATTTGAACAGGGTAACAAAGTTACTACCATAATCTATGATACAAATATTACGGCCCTTGCAGATGAGCTAACAATAGGGAAAACATACATGTTATCAAATGCAACTGTAAAAGACAACAGAAATGAGTTCAGAGGCTCGCTTGAAGACAAAGTTTGGACCATAACAGCAAAGACAAAGATAGAAGAACTTAAGGAGGATAATTTAAACCTTCTCTTCTCGAGATATGAACTCACAGCATTCAACAAACTTGAACGATACATGGATAGTAATGAAGAGATAAGTATGATCACAAACACATTAACTTATAGCCAATATAAATTAGTTAACATTTTTTAATCGTTCTATTTATATTCATTTAATCATATACAAAATATGATATCAACACAACTTCTTTTTTGCAAGTGTTATAGAATAGAACTAACAAATTTCTTCTATTTTTCTAACTTTATAAATATCGGTAGTAAATCTCACACTTCATTGTTTGCTTTATTTATGCAGGATTGAAACAAACAAAGAAAAGCTTGACAAATTAATCCAAGATAAGCCATCTATTGCAGTGACGCCACCCAAAATTTCACCTCCAGATGAAAATAAATTCACGCCAGTTGCTGACTTACAGGGAGTCCATTTAGGAGTAATTTCAAAAATGTTTAATTATATATATATATATATATATATATATATATATAATGTTTTTTGACCAATACTAAAAAAATTTACGCTCTTTCTTATTACTATATATTTCTCATTTCGTATGCAGAAAAAATTTTATTGGGTCAAAGCACAATGGAAAATTACTTCAATGAACCAAAAGTTTGGTATATTGCATGTAACAATTGTAAGAAAACGTCAAGTGCAGACTTGGGACAAATTCATAAGTGTCGTTTCTGCAAATTTGAACATGCAAAAGCAATACCAAGGTAACATGTACTCTAAACCTATATTTAACTATTTATTAAGAATAACACTTCATTTAACAAAACTTACTATGTAATTTAATTAACTTCTCTATATAGGGTAATTGCTTTTGTACATATTGAAGACAACTCTGGAGGCTTGGATGCAACCATAATAGGAGAAACCGTAGAAACTTTATTGGAAGCAAATGCCATCCAAATTATGAACCATTTTGAAAAGGTTAACTCCAAATACTACTAAATTTTTAATAATTATTTGCATTTACTTCATCATATTAAATGAGTATAATTTTAATATTTCAGGACGTTGATACACAACTAAAAGATCTCATAAGAACTAACAGCGAGGAAGAACAACTTTTTTACCTCACTTCTATGATTCTACAAGCAACCTATAATCTATAAATCTCCAGTAGAATAATGAGTCTTAGATTCAGTTATATGATTTTGGTTTCTAAATAAAACAGGTTGCTTTAGATATTTTTGGTATGTTTTTGTTGTTAAAAATGTAAATACTGTGAAATCACAGAATTGTACTCGACCCGTGGTTGACACTAATATATAAAACTTCTTTTGCTATCGATAAAGAATAGTTGTGTAAAATACATATATTTTACTTTATCTATTAGTTAAATATTATCTCCTCCTCAATTTCGCTTAATCGAATACGTAATCAAAACACAAGTTCAATATACTTGCATTTTCCATTTTCTAATTTTTTAAATTAATTTCTTTTTTTCTTTGTTCCAATAAAGTTTACCTAGCTTTTAAATAATCTTTTAAACAAATTGTTTCGTTTATATAGTTAATTGGTAATTAATTATATCGTTTATATAACTGTACTCTTTGTGCAAACTCTCTCTTTTATTTAAAAAAACTAAATAATTTAACAAAATAAAAAAAAATTTATTCATTTTCTTTTAATTGCATGCTTGTAAAAAATTAAATTCATCTTAATATATAAATTTATTCATTTTCTTTTAATTGCATGCTTGTAAAAAACTAAATTCACCTCTGGTTTCTTTTAAAATATAAATATTTAATTCATCAAGAAAACACTATGTTATTTTCTTTTTTTATAAACTTAATAATTATAACATATGATAAAGGAAGAATTAATTTCATTGATCTAAATGATTTCACATAGAAAGAATTATGTAACATGATAATTCCCAACAAGATACGTACTACCTTCAACAGTTTAACCACTTATATCCTATCATTTTACTATGAATAAAAAACAGCCTTTTTAAATACATATTTCAATTTATCTATTACTTAAACATAGTTTCCTCTTCAATTTTACATATCTTAAAACATAAGTTCAATATACTCACATTTTTCATTTTGTAATTATTCAACAAAGTCTACTTACCTCGCTTTTAAATGAACTTTTAAACAAATTTTTTAATTTATACCGTCAATTATTTCATTCAATAAATATTTTCATAAACTTACATCAACAATTACATATAATTTTACTTTTCATGCAAACTCTCTCTTCTACATATATAAATAAACGAAAAAAATACGATTTTACAAAATCCAAAACAAACAGAAAATAATTCATAAGTAAAAAACACCAACAAAAAAAAAATATATTCTCTCTAATTAAAATAAAAAATGAGAAAAAAAATAAATAGTAAATGAAACATTTGTACATTTCAACTACCCACATTGTAGTTAACAACATCTATCTACCCACATTCAAACTACTATCCAAACCTACCTATCCACATTTACTAACCAACATTCAAAATACTACCTACCCACATTTAACTACCCATATTCAACTATTTAACCATCCTTTCACTACCATTTCACACATCTCAAAAACATTTTCTTTCAATTTTCAAAGTTCTCAAAAGGAAACTAAGTTCAACCACCAGGAAGAAAGGTAATCTTCTTTCCAATGAAAATAAATTTCGAATATATTTATCCTATAGAGAATATGTGGTTTATCAATTCTATTATATTAGAAAAATCATGCAAAATTATGTGTCACTTTTCTTTACTGCAAGTATTTAATCTGCATTATATACATGAATAGTATAACATACCATGTCTGTCACTGCATAGTCAAACGAATGAACGCATGCAATCCATCACTTCCACCATGTCTTGGGATAAGAAAAAATGTAGAGGAATTCAAAGAATATTTTGGATACAAATTCATCAGCCAACAAATTCTTCAATAATATGAATATCAAAGCTAAAATGAAACCTAAAACTTATTCATGCAAATCTCAATCATTTTCATTTGACCAAAAAATATTGAATCTATCACTAGCTGTTGAACAGCTCCTCTTACTGAACCTTAAGTTTGTTAATATCTCGAAAAACATTTACCGAATCTCAAGTTTGTTAATATCTCGAAGAACATGAAAATTTTGAATTTAGAAAGCACGACTCCTTTGCCAGAATCACTCCAAGCTGCTCGGAGTGACCACGCTCCGGACTGCGCAGAGATCGCTTCGGGCTGCGCGGGGTGATCTTGGCGCCTTTATGCTCCGCGCTGCGAGAGAGATCACTCCGTGCAGCGCAGCACGGAGTGTTCCTTTAGGAACACTCCGCTCTACGCGGAGTGTCTCCAAAACGTTACAATAAAAAAAAAATACATTATACCCAAAAA